CCATGGTTGTATCGAAACATTGCTGAAAGCAGGAGAATTTTGACATTGTTCATTCCATGGGCCTTATCCCGCTGTTCTACTCCAACTAACGTTTGAGTACTCCGTGCACATCTCTTACTTTATTGAGAGGTGGCTGTGTTATAGCGAGATAACGTAAATCAAGGGCAAATACCGTTTATGTCGGGGCTCATATTTTAGCCATATTCATTTGATCTAATGTTGATGTTTTGCAAATTTCTGATGAGCGCATTTCATCGTCATTTACGAATGGTTCTGCTTTCTTAATTATCCTAATGTCTATTATTATTTGTGACGGGCTCTAAACTTTCCATTAAAATGAGTATAACGTTTCTGCTGTTAGAACAACAGATATGATAGATGTCTACAAAATTTTATGGGAATTTTTGGTCTTATGCTGCTAACCATTCAGGGTTATCAAGAAGAAGTGATAAATCTTGGCGATACTCAGTTCAAGGATCGCATGTATTACCTTCGAAAGGATTTGGACACTGGAAAGACTATTTTACATTAAGCAAGTAATAAATGTTTAATGCAAAGCAAGTTTGACCCTTTTGCCAATAAGATATGCATGAAGTATTGTAATACTTCGCAGCAGATGTTAGCTAAGCATTTGACGGTAGATTGAGAACTTCAAAGCTCTGAATATACATAGCAAAACTAATTTGATGACATGGCAATTCTGGAAGTTTCAATAGTTCGCGTTAGTCTGAAATTGACCTTAAATTACCCATTGTGGTTTAAACTCTTCAGCTTTGTTCCATTACGAATTCACATGTAAAAAATAAGAAACAGCTCTAATTTATACCAGCATTTTCTAGCGTATACATCCTAGTGTTGCGCATAAGATGGTAATATGCAGGGTGTCCCAAAAATATGCTTACTGTATAATAGTCAAAGTCTTTAACCCATTTTTCCTAAGCGTTAATAATTTTCAGGGTTAGCTTAACTTAAACAGTCACAGATCTTGTGCTTAGCTCCACTATAGAAGATTTCAGCATAGAATTCCATGTGGCTTTAGCGCTGCTGTGACCACTTACCGTAACTTTGACAAAGCGTTCATGTTATCAAATAATTAGCCTAATTGCGTTCGACGTACGAAACGACCCCATCAGACAAGTTTCCAGCATTATCATTATCGAATTACTTCGAAGTTAATTCTAATAGCTCTGTTCCCCAACAGTAAAGCCACACCCAACTTTATGAAGTTTTGTCTGGTGCAAATAGGAAGGTTCCTTATGAGTGAAATCGAAGTTCAAGGTAGCCCTATTACCAAGCCTAAAAAAGGGTTATCAATAATAAAACAATGACCACATTTCTAAGACCCCTGTACACCAAATTAGTCTAAAATTAATAACTTTTCGATGCTGTTCACGACACAGCAAACGACCGAAAAATCAAATTTTGCGTATAAGTATGCAGTTGCGGTACATAACCATAATTTTTGTGCTCTACAAATATGTTGATGACATTCTCATAAGACATAACGTAACAGCTAAGAGATTAGTATTTACTTGCCAGAACTTAACTAACAATATACTTGATGTACAATTACTAGCATTAGCAGGAATACAACTTCCTAATTCAATTTAAAATTATTAGAAAACAATCTCCTCAAAACGTTAGCTTTTA